AAATTAGCAATGGGGTGGATCCAACCATCCTCTGAGGAGCCTCCCTCCAGCTTAAGTGGCTCTTTCCCCAATGGAAGAACCACTTAAGTTGGAAGAAGTGTCCATAGCCTGGAGGAAGCCTTCAAATGTTGTTCAGTGGAGTGGTAGGATCCAACCCAATATATGCACTATGACTGTATTTATAGTCATAGAAATGCCAATAGCAGTACAAAGTTGCAGAGGCTCAATACCTCAGATGCAGAGCTTATCTGCAATGTCACAAGACAATGCTGACTTCTTTTCAGATCTCCCATCCATCCTAGGCAAGCCACTGCCCTTTCAGCTGCTGAAACCCAGGGGAAGTATTGCTGCCATACTTATTGTAAAGTTTCCTGACATAAATATTTGTCTGTACACTCTGTTCCCAATTGTAAGGGCCTTAGTATTGTTTTCAGTCCCCTCAAATCCTTAATAATGTAAATGAAAATATGCATGCATTGGGGTTCTGTGTGCATGGAATCTTACCAATTCAAATGCAGCAGTAATGACTCAGGACCAAACTGCATGATACATTTGGCCAGAAGTCGGGTTGGGGTTCCCCCTGACACGATTCACTTTTCCCACAGCCCCACAGCAGCTGAGGGGAACTCACTTCCCCAAGCATTGGATTCGGAGTACCCCCACCCAGCCCATAGCCAAACATATCATATAGTTTAGACTGAGGATGGTTTTTGACATACAATCTATGTCATAGAATCATAGAACCATAGAATCATGGGGTGCATTCAGATGGGCCATTTAAGCCGACATAAACTGCTCCGGTTGGAACCGAAGCAGTTTGATCCGGAAGAAACACGATCACACTCACCTCCTGACTGAGCAACACATCACAATATGCCCATTCACACTACCAATGCGCAGCAGTGCATTTCGGTGGGTTTTTAATTTTTTTTTTTACATTTTGCACATGCATATAGGCAGCCATCCACAGAGTTGAGATCTTCACGCAGGCGCAGAACACCCCGTCCTGAAAAGCGTGCCCTGAAGCAAAGACTTCCCTTTAAACTTTTACACTGAAAAGGGCCTCCGTGCGGTCCTGGACTTGTCCGCAGCCTAAAACTAAGCATCTTTTTTGTTTGTTTGTTTTACAAACGCTGGGGCGAAGCTTCGCCCTAGCGCACATTGAGGAGGCTTAAAAAAAATGCTGGCCGTAAAGCGGAAGCCTCGGGCTTCCGAACAGAAGTGGCTCTACACCGGCAGAGAGCGATCAGACGGGGATAATGCGGCTAGAACCAGAGCACTCAGGATACCACCACTTGGGGACCTAGTAGCAGAATACACCAGTTTAAAGGGTGTTTGCAATGGTTAGGGACGGAAGGCAGATGTTGGCTGTGTGATCGTGCATAAGTACTCCGATTCTAACCAGCTCGTATACCGTCTCGAATGCCCCATCTGAACGCACCCATAGAGTTGGAAGGGACCTCCAGGATTATCTAGTCCAACCCCCTGCACAAGGCAGGAAATTCACAAATACCTCCCCCTAGACACCCACAGTGATCTTTGTTCCACAGCCAGAAGATGACAAAAAACCCTCCAGGATCCCTGGCCAAACTGACCTGGAGAAAAAGTGCTTCCTGACCCCAAAATGGCAATCAGCATTTCCCTGGGTGTGTAAGAAAGGGCCACAAGAACCAAGCAACGATGCAACTCCTCCTGTCCTCCCTCTCATGATCTGCTACACTGCAGAAGCAATGATCATTGTTCTAGAGCAGTAAAAGCTCCTCTTTGAGCTTTTTAACGTTCCCTCAGGGAGAGAAATTTTGCAAATTTCCCTTTAATGGGCATATTAGCATTGGCATATGTAAGCAAAATATATACATATATTTAGATGTACTTTTAAAAGACAATTACCATAACATTGGTTTCTTTTATCATTCAATCAAGGATAAACAATGTATATTTATAACAACAAGCTCAATAAGCATTTGCAAAACTTCCATTTTCTCCAGTTTCAGAATCAATTCATTGCTGCTGTTTTTTGTCATAGGCCAACAAGAAAAGAACAGACATTGTATAGTTTTCATTCTCCAGCACTAGATTAAAATGTCACAATAAATGCTACCAAGAGAGGGAGGAGGGAAGTGCAGTTTTAAAATGCATAAGAGACAGAGGCTGAAAAGCAGCATCAAACAAGGAGGCAGGGGAGGGGGGGGAGGAAAGAGTTTAATGGAGTCAATTAGTGCCTGAGAGCAGAGTCTTTAATTGGACAGATTTGTAGATAGGGCTGGAGAGGGAGAAACTAGAAATGGCGTGTGTATAAAATGTTCACTTCTTCATATCTGAAATAATGGACATTATGCCTTAACTTAAATATGTAACCAAACAGATTGAGAACTAAAGTGTACCAACATTAATCTTCTACAGTCTCACAAATCACGATTTTATACTACCAAGATGATTCTCTGTGTAGCTCTCATTGTTGCAGCAGATTGTCGAAACACTAGCTTTCTGAGCAACACTTCCCATGGCCACTATTTCTCTCCCTTCCACTAGAGGGCTTCTTAAAAAAACACCAGGATTGTTAGGTTGCTATAGCATTATAACGAGTTATTACCATTTCCTACCAATTTCCAGCTTTCAGTTATTAAAAAAGTCTCTAACTCTTTTCCTGAGGACTTATAAGAGAAAGGTGCATCCTGCACCTTACCTTTAATTTGCAATGAAAAGGGCTAGAGCAGGGGTGTCAAACATAAGGCCTGGGGTCAGAACCAGCTCATCCAGGGCTCTTATGTGGCCTGTGAGCAACTGGTGCAAGGAACAGGAGACTGCTGGGGGGTGAGTGGGTGGAACCACTGTGATTGTGGCTTCAGCACAGCAGAACAACTTTGACTTCAGCAGTCAAGCAGCACGGGAGCATCTGCCCAGTGCTGGACCACTGGTTCTCCAGTCCACCCATGTGGGTTGTTCTTGGCACCACCCCCACCCCCAGCCCATGAGGCCTTGCAGTGAAGATACACCAACTCGGAGATTATCAGCTGCTGTCCTTTACATAGTTTATATCCCTGGTACTCAGCATTACATTTTATGGCACACATGGCCCGGCCTGACAAAGTGACATTTATGTCAGATCCGACCCTTGTAACAAATGATTTCAACATCTCTGGACTAGAGCCTTACTTTTTAAAAAAAAAAAAAAGGAAAGCTGGGAATAGATTGCAGCAATAGATCATTCCAGCACTATAGTGATCTAGCAATTCCAGGATTTTTTTTACAGGGCCCTAAAAAGCCCTTAAGTGCAGGGGAAATGGCAGCCAGGTAGTCTGAGGCAAGGGAAATAGTGCCAGAGTGGTTGAGACCCAGAAAACTATGCACCATCCTGTCTATGAATTATACAAAGGTGCTTTGATTACAACTTTCCCCAAAATGATAATACAAAACAAAACAAAAACAAAAAAAAATGATAATACCAAAACAGGTTTGGGAATGATCACATTCACAACAAAGCAGGAAGAAACACAGAAGCAGGACAAATAGATAAACAACATCATGTGGAAGTTCCCAAAACCAGTGCTATTCTAATGAAGCAAAGGTAGAGCAAAACATCCATCTGGAAACTCCCAGTGTCAATGGACAGGTATATCATGAGTGTGGGATAAATCTCCCCAAAAATTATAAATGGGACATCATTAAGTTTTTTGCCTGCAGAAGCTTCTGTTATTCTTCTCTGAAGCAAATGTTTCCCAACTCTGCATGTTCATCAGAGCAGCCAATCACTCCCATGGAGTAACAGATCTAAGTATCATTTAAATATGTCCAAATAATCTAACTGCTCTGTTTTCTTCTGTACATACAGTGCTTCCACATTAGCTGTTTCTTTTCTGCATTGTTTCATATTTTCAAGAATATCTCCACTTCCTCCACCCAGTTACTTTAAAAAAGCTCTCTAAAGCTGTCCAAAAAACACACTACTATGGATTTCTTTCCGTATTTATAGCCTTTCCAAACACTAAGTGTATAAATAAAAAAAATTTCTAGCAGCCAACATCATAAATTCAGCACAAAACTTTAAAGCAATCCAGAGGTTTTGTGTCTATATGACTGTGCAATAAAGGTTTGAAAAAACAGCTGTTTCTCATGAGTGCGCACGCACAGAGCATCCTGATAGACATATTCCTTTGAACATAGGGGAGCTCTCATGGAGCTCTCACTCATACAAGGCCTCCCCTGTTTTTTGAGGACTGAGTAGAAGCGGGGGGAAATCGGGTGAAGCTGCGGGGCAAGATGCGGCCGCCAGTACATGATGTGAAATTGACACATACTATCAGGGCAAAGGGAAGAGCCAGCGCAGAGCAGCAGCTTGTGGGAAATCAGTCTATGTGTTGTCAACGAGGACAGCCCTATTTTCATCTCCACTGTATATGTAGTACCATCCTCTTCATGGCAGTGAAGGAGGAAGCCAGTGGTTGCCATTCAATGCTGTAGTTTGTTTTTAATGCAGTGGCAAAATGCTTCTCCATCCCTACTGTGGGCACAGTGATTAAAGTCATGTACTGAACTTTGAGATATACCTGATTAATTGAATGTAACAAATGGCAGACTACACAGTAGCTTAGGCAAGTAGAGAATGAAGCATAAATGGGCATTTGTGGTGGGGTTTTTTTTCTGTATCTGTATTTTAAATTTTCTACGTTACTTTTTCGACTGAATTTTGTAATTGCCTATTTTTCTTGAAACTGTAATTATCAAATTGTATTGTTAAATAAACAAATTAAAAAAACATGGGAGGGATCAGTTTTCCACCTTCACCTAATCTCCCTCTCCCTCGGACGCTGGCTCTTTCTTGGCAACTGAGGCTAGCAAGGACATTAGTTCTATTGAAAGAGAAAAAGGTATGTGTATATGAGGTTGGAGAGAAGTATCACCATCCACTGGAAAAAAAATACTCTTCATTTCATATGCAAGACAGATTCTTAAGGATCAAAAACAACTCACACTTTAAATCACTTTAATTAGTGACTCACAGTGGCAAGTTTCTGGACATCCTCATCAGATGCTCCCAGTGAGGCCAGTCCAATCTCCTGGGAAAACTGGGCAAATTTAGGGTCAGCAAAGAGAGGCACATGTCCCAGGAGCTCATGACACGTATCCCTGCCATGGAATTAAAATGAAAAGTTATTACATGTCTAGAAGTATCACTGGGCAGAATGTACTACATTTTTTTAAAAAGAGTCCATACTGAACTATTTCAGGATACTTGGTTTGCATGTATCTGGATGCTCGTATCTGTTCAAAGATTTATTTTTGTAAACAAAACTTTTATTAGAAACTGGAGAACTGCCTTCCATCCTGATTGTTGCCATTTGTCTTCTATAAAGTATTTCTGGCACACATGATGCAAAATCTGGCAGTGCCACTCCATCACAAAGAAAAAGCTCACACTGAATTTAATCCTACTTCCTGCTCATCACGAAGCACAAAGTGCCTGTTCTCTCCATCTCCAAGCAAAAAATGTACTTCAGGATGCAGAAAAACAATATTCCTGCATCACACTCAGTTGTCTTTTTTGTAAATGTCACACTCCGGTCCCCATTATGTACCTGAAGCCCCCCATCCTAACTCACTAATCAATGCCTGAGCTACTTCTGCCGAGCCATCCGCCTTTGTTCATAGAATCACAGAAATGTACTCAGTGAATATCGTATGCATGAATAAGGCCAGCTAGTTAGGAAGGAGGAAGGAGTTTTCCAGTCTGGATTTTTTCTGTGATTATTTTCCTATGACAATGTAGCCTGAAGCCTTAAAGACTTGGCATTCATTTTCTATTCTGAATTCCCACCTCACGCTTCTTGCAAAAGACTTCTCCCCTTGGGAACGAGGCCTCCTCCTTACCAGGTGAACAATAATCTAAGTTCTCCTGCAGGTGACAAGTTCATGTGTCAAGTTCTGCTTTACAATATCCCTTTCTTTTTACCACTAACAGTTCTTCTAAAGAGTCTGTGAGAGCAATCTCAAGCAAAACATTATCACAATGCAAGTACCACCTGGCTTGATTTCTGAAGCTGACTTACTATAGCAACCTTTTTTGTCAGGGGCATTGCTGCAAGTTCAATGGTAGAGCACATGCTTTGCTGCAGGCTCAATTCACTGCCAAAGTCCTCTGACCCTGTTTGAGATCTTTTTAAAGAGCTCCTGCTGCAAGGAGACTTGGGAGGCTTCTTCATGGAAAAGATACAAAGGACACATCTTGCGAATGGGTTTCACTATGCACCCATGACACACCCCATGAGAGGTCCTGGGAAACAGGCTGCATTTTCCAAACAGTCACAACACTTACACGGATGTCTCCCACAAGACATACACTGCCAGGAAAATGCACTTTTGAATTTTCTCTTCCATTATTCATCTTTAAGCATATAATTGTGTTATTCATCATTCACTGTTGCCCACATTGCTTCTGAATCAGCCAAACATAAATGAAATTGCCATTAGCTTCCTAGACCAGGCCTACAGCTGTATGGGACCATAAAAGAATCCCCCTCCTAACACAGATGAGGGTACTACTGAAGCCCAGAGATGCTACAAGACCACTAAGCATCCACAGAGGGCTGTATCAGAACACTGATTAGCTATGGAATGGATTAATCAAGGCTGCCCTGAATCCATCATGCTTTTGTAGGTCATATGTTGGCTCACTGTGAAATTCCAAATGAAGCACCGCAAAACAAACATCAAAGCCAATGAACTGTCTGGAACAATTTGGTTTCCAAGCATAACTAGCAAGGCAGAGTTTATTGTAACGAAGGGGAGAAAACAGGTCAGGAAACCGCGGATGCTTAATGACCATTGTGTTTCTTCTCCTGTGATAGTTATACAATTCCCTTTTGGTTAGCTTTTCTTTTTTTTAAGATGACAAAGTAGAGCAAAGAGTACTGAAATACACCAGTGAACAATAAACATGCATGAGGAAAAACTACTTATACCAAAAAGACATAAGAGGAAGCTGGCTACCCTCCATCAGGAACAAAGAATGTATTATTTAGTGGAGTTACCTATCATTTGAGTTTGAAGCAGCTTTCAACATATTTAAACTGATCATCATAAAAATACATAAAGCACCTAACCTTAATAAATATATTAAGCTAAACAAGGTGAGCAGTGGATAAAACCAAATAAATAGCAGCAATTTTAGTTGTTTAAAAAAAATCCACTCGAGGAACCCAATCATTATTCCATGGATGAAACCAAATCATACATTCTCAACCAAAAACAGGGCAAGACAACCAGGTCTTTAGCTGGCACCTAAATGCAAACACAGAAAGCCAATCTTGGGGAGAGGGGAGTTCCACAGACTCAGTGCCACGATCTAGAAGTTTCTTGTCTCCTTAGTTACCCATCTCTAGGTGGGAACATCTAGAGGACTTACAACACACTTACCTGCCTAAGAAAGAATGTTCTATCAGAAAGGATGGACTTAAGTCTGGGCCTCAAAGTGGAGTGTGTGCTGGCAGATATAATAGTAAAACCAAAGATCTTTACTTTCTGTCTTTACCTTCTGAAATTTTGGTCAAATATAAGGCTAAAATGTTTTTTAAAAAATCTATTCTGGTTCACTATTATGAGAAACATCATCACCAAGATTTGTTCCCCCATTAGTTTCAGTGTGATGCCAAACATCATGAACATTAAAAATGAAAAGACAGAATAATAATGAAATTTCAAACCTGCCATATTTATAGACTATTTCTTCTGAAGTTTTACCTTTGTAAATAATTTTAATAGCAGCACCCCCTTTACACATTAACTTAACTGTGGTTTCAGGAAAGAAATATCTGATATGAATAGTTGTGAGACTTTCCATCCTACAGATAAAAGACAAATGGTAGCAAGCTGAAACAACAAGGGATTTTCTTGATTAATAATTTATCTGCATTCCCAACAGGCTTGGACAGTTATGCTGGGAAAACAGGAAGCAGAGAGGCTGCAAACTCTGTTGTGTTAACATTATATAACATCTGCAAGCTCAAATATTCATCTTGCTGGGTGCTACAGACATTCTTACCATTTGGCTTCAAAAACAAAACACACTGTGGTCCAAAGAGAAGATGTTCTCTTATCCAGATGCTCTGTTCTCTCCACTGTAGAAGAGTACCCGGAACATTAAGAGCCCACCTCCAGGCCAACATACCATTAACAACGGTGGCAGGAGAACAGCTGGATGATGTGGTACAAATTCGTACGGCTTTGACAGTTTTTGCTGTGCCTGGTCCATGAAACTTTCTCAGAATGGTAAGCTTCAAGTTAAACTGTGAATCTTGTTTATTTACTTCAGTTATACCCTGCCTTTCCTCCCACTGGGGACCCAAAGGGCTTCCATCATTCTCCTCTCCTCCATTTAATCCTCACAACAACTCTGTGAGGTCAGTTAGGCTGAGAGTTGTGTGATGGGCCCAAGGTCACTCAGCTACTTTCCATGGCAGAGTGGGGATCGAGATCCTTTTCTGCAGCATCTCCAAACAAGTGCTATACTGTATTCACTGGAGAGCAGCTTCTTTCATGCAGAGGCTCCATGAGGGACGACAGATGCCTCCCTCCCCGTATTTTAACACCTTACCTGATTAACTCTCAGCAGCATCTATATCTGGCTGTTTTGAGCTATAAAAATATAGTCACAGGTGTTCTTAATCTGCAAAACACAGTTTCATTCAATCTTGAATATATCCAAAGTGTAGGCAGCAAACCTTGCCCTGAGCCCTGCAAATTCTCCCACCCCCACTACTGACACCTGAAACGGTGCCTTTTGATCACACTTACTGACAAAAGAGTAAAATCTGAGCCAATGTTATGGCAACCTGAAGGTGACTCCAAGTACTCAAGATCTCCTCCTTGGATAGCTTCACTGACACCACATAAGGCAGCATGAAATAGTGATAAAAATGGTTTCTGAGATGATAGTAAATCACTGTATCTAACAGCAAACTGGCTTGTCTCCATGCAGATGATGAACGGAGCAGCGCAGTTTAGGAATTCAAGGGCTCCCACCCTTTAGAAAGCAATGTGTACTGCTTCAAAAGTAAAACACAAAATTAACGTACAGCAACAACTTCTACCAAGCAAATTTCATGCTAATCTGAAGTCAAATGTAAGGGGGGAAAGAGGAGAAGAAGAAGAAGAAGAAGAAGAGAACATAAGAGAAGTAGTGTTGTCAGCTCTGGGTTGGGAAACACCTGGAGATTTTAGGCTGGAGCCTGAGGAGGGTGGGGTTTAGGGAGAGAAGCAAGGAGGAGGAGGAGGAGATTGGATTTATACCCCACCCTTCACTTGGAGTCTCAGAGCAGCTTACAAACTCCTTTCCCTTCCCCTCCCCACAACAGACACCCTGTGTGGTGGGTGGGGCTGAGAGAACTCTGACATTCATGGTGTGGTGATTCTTCTAAAATGTGCCACAAACTGAACAATGTGAGATTTACTTCTGAGTAATTAATTATCGTATGGCATTATGTACAGTACAGGCAGGAGATCCAGAAGTTGTCTGGCAGCTGGAAGTTCTAGCTCTTTAGCATTATGCACCACTAGGTGGCAAGCTAGACTTCTTTTTTTAGGCAAGAGATGATTCAGAGGTGGTTTGCCATTGCCTGCCTCCATGCCATGGCCCTGGTATTCCTTGGAAGTCACCCTTCCAATCCCTAGCCACAGCCGACCCTGCTTAGCTTCTGAGAGCTGATGAGATCAGGCTAGCCTGGGCTATCAAGGTCAGGGCACTTCTGAGTAATTATACTTGCACAGAAGCAGGCTATCAGCTGGTTCTACTTCCAAGTAAATATAACTGGAATGTGGCAGCAGTGACATAAGATTTTATTTATTTTTTTGTTGTTTATTTATAGGGATTTTATCCCACCCTACCCCACAAGTGGGCTCAGGGCGACCTACATCATGTCATAAAACCATAAACAATTCCATAAAACAATAGTACATTAAGACATTAATTGAACATAAGAACATAAGAGACGCCAATGTTGGATCAGGCCAAAGGCCCATCCAGTCCAACACTCTGTGTCACACAGTGGCCAGAAATACCAGTGCCATCAGGAGGTCCACCAGTGGGGCCAGGACATTAGAAGTCCTCCCACTGTTGACACCCCCCCCAAGCA